TTCCATTCCTATCGGAAATACGTAGAGAAGGTTTAAATTACCTGGGAATGCATTCGGAGTCGTTCACGGAACATCATCAACCAAGCTGGCCTTGACCCCGCAAGGAACAATCCTTGTAGACCACCAACATTCTTAAAAATATTTATACGTTGTAATGATTTTCCAGGTGATATCTCTTCCCTTGCATAATTTTCAAGTGGGACTCGTATAAATCTTAGATTTCTAAGCCTAGAAGCACTAGCAGTACTGAGATTTGTAGAACTTTGTGAATAATTTTCAGAACCTTCAAAAATGTAGGCATGGTAGCAGAGAATAGTTCCATCAGATAATATTCCGAAAAGAAAAGGGCGGCTATGTTGCCCTACCCACCTCTGCATGGCCAATTCAACTACTTTTATGTTCTGAATGTCATCCTTTTTTCCATGTCCGGTAACATCACCGGAATTTTTTAGACTAGAACCAAGAGATGGATCTTGTTGGATTAAGGTGTCAATGAGGTAGCTCCTTCCAGACACAAATTTATCCACAGAGAAAACACAACTAAAAGTAGGCACATCAAAGATTTCAAGATTACCATCTTCATAACAAACGACACAGTACACATCTCCTTGTTCATGAGATATACCATCAGCACCATCAATTGCCTCTTCAACGCCAGTAGAAAGCCAAGCATCAGTACTAGTCTTGCGAAGCCACGGCTCAGGACCTTCATCACTAAAGAGTGTGCAAGAAGAAATTAACTTCTTTGAACTTCCAAATATTGCTGGAGTAGCAGTAGAAATAGTGCATGTAGAACGATCTATAAAAAGAATTTCATGTCAGTATATTCTTACTGGTGGACAAACAGTATCAAAGTATTGAAGGGCTATATCAAGAGACAGATCAAGGCGCTAGTATTAAAACTTAAGCAAAACTCAAAAGTTTATTCAAAATTAAGTTGATAAAAAGTTCAATCTAGCAACAAAAAGTTTAATGTAGCACAGTTGTAGTGTTCCCATGGCGTGGTGATGGTGCCGCAATGGCGCCGCCATGGGGTCACCTGTTGTCACAGCCAGAATTGTGGTGATTAGGGGCCAAATCGCCAATGGCGCATATATGACGCGTGCCATCTGCACCATCGATAAGCCTACCAACAAAGAAGGCACATAGCACAAACAAAGCAGTAGCAAAGAGCATACTAAGAACAAAGAAAAGCATATGTAATGGGTAAAGAGTGGCCAATGAAAAACAAACAAACAAATCCCTTGGCATATCACGCTTAAAGAATAAAAGAAAGGTCAAGAAGTGTTGACATACCACCAATGAGAAGCTGAATACTTCCATCTGTCATGGTTAGCAAGACATAGGGGTCAGCAATTGAAGCAGAACATACTGCAATACCCTCAGAACCTGAAGAGGGGTCCAAGTTGGAAGCCTTGAAACTCAGCTCTTGAGTAATAAAGGTTCCATCAATAATTCGAGCACCGTGACCAAACACTTGTATAACACGACGCCTACAATATATAAAGATTGATGAACTATATGCCAAAGCCTCAACTTTCGATGGTTATGATACACTATATATGTCAAAGACTTGATACATTGTCCGAACATTTCATAACCAAATAAAGAGATGCAACTACAAAATTGAAGCTAGGACATCAAGCTAATTTCAACAGTAAGATTTATATATGTCATTTTGCCAACATCATCCATGAACAAGATCCTAAACAAGTAAAGCCGTTTGTTTAATGATTAAGGGGATAGATGAGTTGAAGATGTAGAAGAACCCAATTGCTACCCACGACCTTTGACTTAATAAGTTCGAGATAAACCCTCCTAGATCACAAACCAGAAGTGCAAAGCCAACCCCCCCCCCCCCAAAAAAAAAAAAAGCTCTCAGAGGAAATAGTATACTAAAAATAATAATGCATATCAACCACAGGTTATAGACAATAAGAAATCCGAGGAACCTTCAAAAACTAAAAATAGATTCACCTCCCAAATAAATTTCCAACAGCTAGAGTTGTTCCCTGAACATAGTAATCTACATTTTCAGTAACCTCCTCCAAACTATTGGCAGTCTGCAGAACCTGCCAGATTTAGAAAGAAAATCATGTCATTACTCATTAGATATTTAAAACATAAGTCAAGATCCACAAGGAACCAAGATGAGCAAGACTGCATGCATAGTAGCAAAATTTCTAGTAAAAAAATCCTAAACGGGCATACCACATAAGATGTACCACGAAAGACAAAATGTAGGAGTGTGTCTTGTCATAGAGAGAGAGAAAGAGAGAGAGAGAGAGAGAGAGAATGTTGAGTTCATATCATGTATTTAGAAGATTTCTGTTCATCGTCAGAGGCTATGTATGTGTGCAAGGTAAAGCAAAATCTCACAAGCAATGCAATAAGATAAACAAAATCTAAGGCAGCAATATCAGGTACAGAAGATGCAAGCAACTAAATAGCAGCTATGTGCTTCACATCTCCGACCCATAGTATTTAACTATTGAAATAAGAATACTGGAGTCCACCTCTATTTTTTATCAAATGAATCCTCTAGAACAACAAAATATGATACAATTGATGAGTTGAAAGATTACCATAGTGCGAGTCTCCAAACTAATAACCAAATATGCATGATACTCATCATCATCATCTGCAATTTTTGATGATTCATTAAGGTTACTGCGCGTGCTCTTGTGATAAACAGTCCAAATTCCCTTGCAACCAGGCAACGATTCCTTCAAAATATAAAGCTACGCTTAGAATCTGAACAAACAACTGTAGAATAGATTAGCTTACTGACCAATAAACAAGGGTTCATATATCACAAGTTCTACACCTAATTTCTTCTTATGTGTGATGGTGAGTGTGTGGTTCCATTAAATTTAATATTAAAAGCGAGCCACGTGCTTGGTGGGATCTAGAAATGTATGTTTTGGTAATATGGGAACTTAGTTTATCACCCCTTGGGATGTTTTCACCAAACTATTTCCATAATATTCGCAACAAAGTTGGTGTTTTGAAGAAACCGTGCAAAAAATGTGGAAATAGAACACAGTTTCTTGTACTTAGAAATAAATAAATCACAAAAAAGAGGTCCACATTTTTTTATGAAACTTAGCATAAAATGAAAAACTATGGTAGGAAATGGAAACATGCACCCACAACCAAAAGCAACAAAGCATAATATCTAAGTAACACATTGCGAAGGAGGGAAATACATGTAGAAAAAAATGGAAAAGAATAAAGAGCACACTTGAGTAATGATTTCTGGGCGAATTGATCGCTGGAGTACACAAAGAGCGCCGTTCTTCCCGTGGCCAGAACAACACACCTGAAAATATTCCCAAAGAATTCTGGATAATTATATGTGCAAAAGCTGTAACATTGTAACATTGATGAAGATGTGATCAAGAAAGGCAAGTTTAGCGAAGAATTTGGACGAATTTATAACCCATCAAAAGCAATATTATCAAGTAAAAAATTCCAGGTCGATACTAGATTTTAAACATTTAATATTCTGAAACATGGTTTGCATAACTTAATAGTTCATCTTATCATCAAGCTCAAATCCCCCTTACAAATTTATGATGCTCAAAGCATGACTTGCACAACTTAACAGTACATGTAATGTTATCTAGATCTTACTATTTTATTGACAGTTTATTTAGAAATCAATAAACTATAGCGTGCAGAACTTACCAATTCATGGTTACTTTGTTTAGAAACTCCAGTGGCATTTGGATCAGCATTTTTTCTCAAACCATGTGAAAAGTCTTTCAGGGGGGCAATATTGATCAAAGAATCCCTCACTGCAAATGAGAAGGTTTTCTGCACCCATCACCAAGAATTTAATATAATAAGGAATGGAGCAGAACATTATGCACTAAACAGAGCACGAAAACCACATAAGTGGAAGTGATTCCACATTATTAATGATGTTTTTAATTTCGGCAGACACTGTAAAAAGAAAATATTTCCTCCTATTTAACACACTTCTTGTACAAGTCACATCTGTTGCTGTTACTTTGTTAATGATACTACATGGAGTATATAATGATATTGAAGACCTGCAGCTTCAAATGTAAAGCTTACTTGTGCTGACTGTGCATTATTTGGTGATGTACCATACAATGACAGCTCTTCCCCATTGAGCATATCTTGTAATGCATCAGACGAAGACCTCCTCAGCCTCTTCGCAGAAGGGACATCATTTTCAATATCTCCAGCCTACATATGTAAAAAATATAGAGGTGCTAAACTTAGATGGTATTTAATGAGCATATGAGAATTTATTTCAAGATAAAAAATGCACAAACCTCATCCTTTCCACCTGAAGGCAACATTGGTGCTCCTAAACCACTAGTAAACTGCACAAGCAAGCTATCCCCAAATCGACTGCCCAAAAAGAACAATGAGGTCCCAACAGTAGAGATTCCCTACAAAACAGCCAGACTTGTCAAAATGCCCAAATGAGAATGTAATGAACATCCCTATGTGGCTACATTTATGCAAAACTAGAAGGTAACATAAAGATTTTAAGAAGCCTAACTGATGTAAGCACTGACGCTCTGGACTTAGAAAGATCCAGCCTTTGCACAACTCTGCAAATAAATAATTTAATAATGTCATCTCAGAAAGTCAGAATAGAGTAGCAGTTCTCTTGGTAATAAAAAAAAGTTCATTGTTCAACCATAACATTGCAGAAGCATGATATGAAAAGAAATATACCTTCCATCATGTATAAGTGTTAATAAAAGAAGTTCCCCTGTCTTTGTTGATAGCATCACAACATCATTTGTCAACCAAGTGGCATTAGCAGAATCAAGCTCCACACTGAAAGAAGCTCTTGAAGTTTCTGTACTGGAAATAGTCCAAACAGAGTGCATACACAAAAGCAGTTTGTTAATGATGTCATAAGCAAAAAAAACAATCCAAACTAATTTCCAAATCACTACATTAGAGATTAAGAAATTACTTTGTACCAAACCATGTCACTTTATATAGCAATCCCTCCATCCCTCTTGGTTCTTCCCGGTTTGCGTTACGATGTTTGACTTAAGTTATTTTTAATTCATTTTATATGAAGGTTGGTGTGTAATTAAAAAATAAAAATAATATATTTAAATACTACATCAAAAGTTCTACAAAAGTAATGGTGACAAGACTATTTTATTTTATCAAATAATCAAAGAAAATATGTAAAGAAAGAGAATAAAGTTTGACCTTGTGAAATAGAAACTTGGAAGAACCTAGAGGGGCAGAGGGAGTATTATGATTCACAAGCATAGAAACTATAACATAAACTGAAATAGAATTCACCAAAATCTTAAAAGAAAGCTGTAAGAAAGTTACTGAATATAGGGACAGAGAGAGCAGCATTTTTATTTATTAGCGAAAGGGGGATAATTAACCCTCACCTATCAACAGAGAGAGCAAAATTGTTCAGAGCCAAAGCACATGAAGCTGACTGAAAATGATAAGGTCAAAATATCATAAGCACGCATTATGTGATCCAGCAAGAGAAAACAAGAAACACATATCAATGATCAAATGAAAACATTAATAAGCAAACACATTTATAGCAAAGAACTTGAAATAAGGTTCTCAACCTGACTATAATAATGAATAGTGTTTGCCCCAAGTACAAGAACTCCAGCAACAGGAGAAGGCACTGCAAGAAGCTTATATGCATCGTGTGGATAACTCTGGAGACAAAGGCGAAGTGAAAATAATAAAATGTACTCAAAGATATTTCTATCAATCAAAATTTAATTAAATTAAGGCTATTTCAAGCAATGCATTCCTAACTAGAAAAATTTAACCAATGCCTACAAGAGTTAGGTGGAGCATAGTTTCAAATCTTTGTCTTGACACATGAAGCATTTAAAGAAATTTAAATAAGCACTGCAAAATCCATGACTCATCTAGATAGATATTGTAATAACAATAACAACACGAAGCTAGGATTTATCTACTCCATAGAAAGCAGAGTTGAAGAAAATTATTCACATTTATTAGTGTATGAATATGACTCCCTTCATTGCGATCTGCAAATTTTCCTTTCGACCTCTGTGCAAATTAATGTATCTCTGGTCCTCCTCGCCAGCGTCTGTGGTGGTTGTATCAGTGGCGTAGGTCAGCTGCGGGATACGGCGGTCAAACAGCTTCAGTCCCAGGTAAGTAGTACCCCCCCCAAACCCAACCCTACCCCTTAACCCGACTCTTCGCTGACCAGATATGTCGGCTGTCCCTCCTCCCTCCCGCTATCCTCCCTCCATCAACTCCTCTCCCTACTGCCGTCCCTTTCCCGTCACTGCCCTACCCCTTAGCCTCTGTCTTTCCTGCCTAGCACTTCCTTCCCCCTTCGGCCTCAACTGCCCTAACCCTAACCCCACCCCTGCCCTAGCACAGCCACTCGACTCTTACCCCTAACCCTACCTCTGCCCTAACCCACCCCTTTGGCCTCAGCTGCCCTCTCCCTAACCCTACCCCTTCCCTCAACTGCCCTCACCCTAACCCTATCCCTGCCCCTTCTCTAGCACAACAACCCTCCTCTCTTTCACTGCTATTATTGCTTTTATTGTTGATTCTTTGCTGTGCTTCCTTGATCTTATTATTGTTAGAATTATTGTTGTTGTTGTTGTTGTTATTCTTGGTGTTGTTATTTGTTCGTTGATGGTTGTTCTGTGTTGGCTTACTTGTTTTTTGTTTGCATTGGTGTGTGGGTAGGGTGGCTGCTATTAGTAATGTGAACTTAAGGTTGTATCCTGGGGTGGGCAGAGGGAGTAGTTCGGGGGGG